GGAGAAATAACTACAATGAAATCCTTATTTAATTATATCTGAAATATTTTTGAGGAAGATTTTATTAATGTTTAGGTATGGATCTTCCCTTGAAGTTTATGTTTTCCTTTATGGAAAGAATGGTAAAAACCACTCTTGGAACAACGAATCTGACTTCACTGGCCTCTGTGTCCATCTCTCCCAATTGCTTCCTCCAAACCCACCCTTCCAGTTTGTGTTGGCTAAGGTTTGAAAAACAAAGTAGTCATTGAATGAGAAAAGCTATAGCAGTCCTTACATGGATTTTTCTGTCTGGCTACTTGTACCCTCAGGTAGACTTTAGACTTGATAAACCCACTGTTCCTTACTCAGTGCAGTTAACAGGTAAAAATCTTCAAGGATAATAAATTTGAGCTGTTCCAAATAAGTACCCATGGGAAAGTGCATTATCTTTTTTATTCCAGTCATCCTCTTTCCTGCCTTACAAATGTGGATTATGTTTGCATAATTGGGTGGTGCAAGGTGTTGAAATTCACCCAGTTGTTTTCTCAGCTTCTAACAGGAGTATGATCTAGAAACCACTTCCTTGAGCCTTGAACCCATTTAGATGCTGTTGATCATAGAGACCTGAAAATTGCAGGGCACTGGAATATAAGTGGTGTAAGTGCTTTTACCTGGCCTTTATTTAACTCATCAGGAGCAAGCTGCCCTGCTCCCAATGCTGAACCAAAGGCAGAGTTTGTTCTTGGGGCATAGCCATGGGCCCCAGAGCTGGTCAGGTTGATCATAGAGAGACACAGGTGGGGTTTGTGCTCGGCCTAGAGCTAAAGCCTGCAGAAGACTATGAGTGGGGATGGGAAGAATGTAGGCATTTGCTACCTTTTATTACTTTGCTTTAGAGAGAAATTTAAGCCCTTGGTGACGTTATTATAAAGGGATGCATATCTTTAAGTGCAGAAACATCAGCAAAAGCCATCTTGATTTCTTTCTTTTTTTTTTTTTTTGTAGTTGAATTCAATACCTTTATTTATTTTTATGTGGTGCTGAGGATCGAACCCAGTGCCTCACACATGTGAGGTGGACGCTCTACCACTTAGCTACAGCCCCAGCCCAGCCAGCTTGATTTCTGAGCAGGAGGTGTACAGGCTCTGCCTGTTTCTCTCTTTTGTTGCAGATGTTCTCAGGATGGGGTCTTTGACTGTTTGATTCACCAGTGAATCTGTGGAGATCCTGGGCCAGTGCAAGATAGATTAAGTATTCATTCATTAACTATCAGTGGAATAGCGGCACAGAGAAGGCCACACAGAACAAGACATGACAGGACCTAGTTAAGAACAGTGACCAATAGAGTAGGGTCTCTTGGTCCCTTTTGTTCCTCAGTGGAAGGAAAAAACCTTTTATGGAGGATCAGGACTTGATAAGCCCCCATGGAGAATTTGTGGTCACACAAATGAAATCCTAATGATTTCTCATTCATTCATTCATTCATTCAGTGTAATGCATTGTGCTTTACTCTTGGGATGAATAAGTAAAGGAATGTCATCACTCTGGGCTTCAGTATCCTTGTCTTTATGCAGGAAGTTGAACTAGAATATCTCCAAAAATGGATAGTGTAAGAGTGAAGATCATTTTTTCTCATATCTCCAGACTCATCTCAAGTCCAAAGCAGCAGTATGAAGGAAGAAATAGTACAGAACAGCTGTCATTGGTCCCGAGGCCACCCCCTCCCCAAGGCTCTGCTCACAAAGAAACAGCCTTGTGCCCGTGGCGCCTGTGATGGGAAGTGTATCCCTCAGGCGATGAGCAGTGATTTGATTGTCTGCCCCTCCACCCACTGCATGGCTAATGATAGACCTCTGCCTTTTTCCCATAGGCCACTCCTCTCAGACTGTGCTGTGACAGCGATATAGGCATCTAGGGGGTATGGTGAGGTGAAGATAACCCCTGTTTTCCCAGCAGGCAGCCTGCTGATCCTACACATCAGGAGCACTTCCCTCGGGGATCTCCGACTGGAGCTGCTTATTACCAGGAACAGGAACATTTCATACATCATCAAACTGAGTGGCATGGAATTAGCCCAGCTGCCCTGCACAGTCAGGGACTATGCCACAGATCGCTCATTTGTGGTTCATGCCCTTGGTTTTCCCCTCCTGCCCTGTGATTGCTGGGAGGAAGAAGGTCATTTTATGGTTCCTTATTCAGGAATAGCACAAAGGACCCCATGCTACAAATCCTGTGAATATTGATATGCAGGCTCATAGTGAATCTTCCTAACCATCTTAATCCTATAAAAAGCTCCTTGAAAAAATAATACATATCAGTCGAGTTGGCATAGAAACATGGAATGATTTCAGTGGAAATGCTGTTAATGCCATGAGTTGGTATTGAATAGACACTGGGACAGTTTTGCATGGATGCTTTCTTTCCTGAAGAATTTGTGGTCACGCAAATGTAATCTCTGCTCTACAAGTCTGTATCCCAGGAGTTCTCTAACTAATGTTCTAAACATATTGTTCTGGTTATCTCCATTTCACAGGCTTTATCGGCTTCCCCCTTTCTGGAATGTCTTGTATGCCCTCTCTCCTAATTTTAGCTATTGTTTTTCCTTTCTTAATTGTGACTTTTCTTTTCTCAAAGCCTTCCTTTAGTATCTCAGGTCTCACTAAACTTGACTTTGTATATATAAGTTGAATTTGTGTTGTCATAGTATTTTCTCATTTTGTTTTCCTTATATTGCTAGTTTGTTAGTCATACTTTGTCTTGGTAGATTGTCACCCTTTCCAGAAAAAATAAACACATCATGTATAGTTCTGTATCCCCAACTCATAGAGTAGAACCATTATGCATAAACCTCTAATATGGATCAAGATCCTTCCTTAATATGAATAACTGTGACATGTGCTAATTATCCCTATTATACAGATTATAAAAGTGGGGTTCATTTTGGTAGGAAAAAATGGAATAAAGTCACACAAGTTTCAGGATAGGATTTGAACTTGGCTTTTGACTCTAATTTTCTTTTTTTGTTATTTGAATTATTTTAGCTCTTAAATTGTATTTATTGATTTGGGCTGGTAGTGCATGCACATAGTAAAAAAAAAATCAAAGATTCTAGGTTTCTTTTTGTTATTCTGCATCATATTGGTAATTTAATACTTGCTTGTTCTCAAAATGAACTTATTTTCCTCCAAGAAACCAGCTCACTATTCTGACTTCTGCTGTTCTGTTAGTGGTTCCAGCACAATTTTTTTTGGGGGGGGGGCAGGGTTACCAGGGATTGAACCCAGGGACACTTGGCCACTGAGCCACATCCCCAGCCCTATTTTGTATTTTATTTAGAGACAGGGTCTCACTGAGTTGCTTAGCACTTTGCCATTGCTGAGGCTGGCTTTGAACTCCTGATCCTCTTGCCTCAGCTTCCCAAACTGCTGGGATTACAGGCGTGCACCATACCATGCCCAGCTTCCAGCACAAAATTTTAACATGACATCTTTTTTTTTAACCCTCTCTGATGTGTACCAGCTAATTGATCACTCAAGGCCAGCTCATACCTCATTTCCTCAAATCCAAATCTGCTTGTCCATTCTTACTGCTCCCCTGATCTAGCCTTCACTCTCTACCCAGATGACTGCATTCTCACTACTGTCCATACCTCCCTTCATCCCCTTCCAGTTCATTCTAGGGTCATCTAGAAACTTATTGAAAAATCTTTCTACCTTCTGAATGAATTCTTAGACTGTTCTTGTTAGGTTGTTTACTTGGTTTTGGTAATCTGGCACAACTATTCTCAGTTTTTAAATAATGATTTTAAATACATAAAATGAAACACATATAGGGTTCCACTGGAGAATATCATGCTATGTGAAATAAGCCAATCCCAAAGAACCAAAGGCCAAATGTTCTCTGTGATATGTGGATCTAATTCACAATAAGGGGATGGGGCTATGGAAGAACAGAGGTACTTTGGATTAGATAGAGGGGGGTGAAGGGAGGGAAGGGGTATGGGGGTAGGAATGATAGTAGAATGAATATTACCCTGTGTGTATATATGATTACACAACCGGTGTAACTCTACATCATGTACAACTAGAAAAATGAGAAGTTATACTCCATTTATATATGATGTGTCAAAATGCATTCTACTGTCATGTATAACTAATTAGAACAAAAAAAAATTTTTAAAAAGAAAACACATAGGGTTCTAAAGGGAACTATTTGTATTAAGGTAGCTATCAAATTATTTTATTTTTTTAAATTTTTTAAATTTTTTTTATTTTTTTAAATTTTTTATTGTTTTAGTTATAGATGGGCACACAATATCTTTTTTTTTTTTTTAAAGAGAGAGTGAGGGGGGGGGACAGAGAGAGAGAGAATTTTAACATTTATTTATTTTTTCTTAGTTCTCGGCGGACACAACATCTTTGTTGGTATGTGGTGCTGCTGAGGATCGAACCCGGGCCGCACGCATGCTAGGCGAGCGCGCTACCACTTGAGCCACATCCCCAGCCCTATCAAATTATTTTAAAAGCAAATTTTCATAAAGTAATCTATGTTTATTTCTATTAATATATTAAATAACAAGGGTATCCTACCAGGTAGAATAACTTACACCACCATTTCAAAGTAACAGTGAGTACAAGTGGTATTTCAAGATCCCCACACATGTGTGATATGATATGAAAATATCTATGATTTGTTTGGTGACAGATCCTTCTATTATGTCACCTACATTCATAAACAAAGCAAATGCCAAATTTCACATAGAGGTTAAAGAAAATGAAATGTGTGTTCAGTGTTCATTGTTGTCCACTTACATTTGTGGACCACAGATTAACCCCCTACCCTTCCACAGTCTGAATCTCAAGACCCTGTGGCTTACTTTCTGGTTCCCTGGTAATTTTTAAGTTTTGGATCCTCTTTTTGTCCCTATGTGGGCTCCACTCCATACCATACAGATGGGAGATTAAACTGGGACCTCCATGTCTAACTGCATCTCTGTTCTTCTCTTTGCATCTATACAGGTGGAGGAAGGATGGTGGGAAGGTGTTCTCAATGGGAAGACTGGAATGTTTCCTTCCAACTTCATCAAGGAGCTGTCAGGGGAATCAGATGAACTGGGCATTTCCCAGGATGAGCAGATGTCCAAGTCAAGTAAGCAAGTCTATTCCACAAACAGGAAATGAGGGAGACCATTAAGCTCTATTCCAGCTTCCCTTCTGTACTGTGTCCTATGCTGAGAGGCTGTGACAAAAGCTCATGGGTATTTTGTTGATTGTACTACCTTAACCCACTGTGGTTTAGTAAGTTTATCACTGAAGAGGTCTGACTTGCAGCCATACATTCCATACATCTCTGGATAGATGACTGTCAGCCCTCATACCATGATGGTTCTGCCTCACGGGGGGCTCATACAGCTATGAGATGTTTTTACCATAAGTTCATAATTATGTTTTAAATGAACCCAATGAGATTGTCGAATTTCTCAGTGTCCCTTGTGGAACATGGAGAAAAATGAGAAAAAAAATATGTGTGTGTGTGTATATATATATATATATATATATATATATATATATATAATTGATGGCAAGAAGTACTGTGCACAAGAGAAGTGCATGCTAATTTCCTTAAAAGTATGAGAAGACATGCTGGGCTCATAGTGCACACCTGTAATCCCAGTGCCTTGAGAGGCTGAGGCAGGAGGATTACAAGTTTGAGGTCAGCCTCAGAAACTTAGTGAGGCTCTCAGCAACTTAATGGGCCTCTGTCTTAAGATAAAAAAAAAGGGCTGGGGACGTAGCTCAGTGGTAAAGCACCTCTGGGTTCAATCCCCAGTACCAAAAAAAAAAAAAAGGTCTGACAAGACAACTGAGTCTAGGCCCCACCTTGAGCAAGCATGCGTTTCCTTCTGCAATGGTGAGAACGAACTTCAGGTCTTTCTTTCTCCAGGGCCTGAAGGTCTCCCTCCAGTTTCTCTGCTGCCCTTTCCAGCTCATGGAGCAAAAGGTCAGGACCGGGAAGCTTTGTTCTCCCAGTCGCTAACCCAACTTCCCACGTGGGCGTCTGTGTTTATCTTGTGCCGTGTTGAGCCAAGGTCATGGGCATGAATGTTGTAGGAGGCTTGACTGTGTCTTAGTAGTGGCGACACTACCTAGGGTTGCTGACTTCTCAATAAGAGAAGGGCAGCTCAGTCTTGCCAAAATAATTCTTCAATGTCTTCCTTTTCCATCTGGAAAAATCTGACTTTTTAGTGGTGTTCTTATGTTGGCTTGATGTCTCTTTTATTTAACCAGGGGTATGATTAGACAGATGCCTGATTTGGAAGCAAAGCCATTTCCAGAGAAGTGCTCAGGTGACCTCTTTTGCTTCGTGTCTCAGAAGCTCTGGATCACACAGCCCGACATATATAGACACAGCTATACTGGATGGTTGTCTCAGTAGCTTCAGCAGTACCTCTTCCTCCACTGCTAAAGCCTGGGGCCTTCCTTCCCTGAACTCCATTCCTGGAGTCTATAAAAGGAAGGACTGGGAAAGGATTTTGGAGCAAATGTATCCTAGAGCTCCTGATGCCTTTTCTGGCTTAGGGCAGAGGGATTTTCCACTAACATGGCCCTGCTAATGCTTGACTATAAGAGTTGCTATTGTACTTAAAATCCACGTAAGAATTTTAACTGCCCTAGTGTTGCTTTTTGTATACTGGAATAGTATCATACATGGTAATTAGGTCCTATAATAACAATACTTTCAGGGACATTGTGGATTAAATGTGCTTTTTTTTAGAGGGGAGACCAAATCAGGTCATGGGCAAATGAAATATTGAGTTCCAATAGCAATAAAGTATATCAGCCACCTTACCTATGGAAGGCCTCTAATAAATGGTAGCTCTCATTGTTAATCAAGATAATTGGTTGGGGCATAACCAGTTAGTGTTTAGCAGTTTAAAGCTTTTTGGTTACTCATTGATGCTGGAGTCACTGAAGCATCATGTCTGCACTTGGAAATGATTTGGGGATTCTTGTACTGATACAGAGATTTAGGGGAGGTATTAGAATTCTCTTTTGGAGAGATTTATGTTATTTTAACTATGCTCTCAGAGCTTGCAGTTTTGGAGCTATTGAAACAAACAGTCTCCCACACATTTCTAAATCAATAATTTGGACAACTGTCCCTGCCCAAACTCTCACCTCAAAGGTATGGTACTGGAATTCCTGGCACAGAATTAAGAGGCTCAACTGTCCTTCCTTCACCTGTGCCCCCCAGCACTCATTCAATTACTAGCCCTCCATTTTAGGACCAGGAGAACCCCAAAATTTCAATAGCCATGTTCAATCCATGGAATCTGCCCATCGTTGAAGTGATTTTGAGGTCCCTGGAGAGGCATGGACTCCTAACAAGGATGCATTCTTCTGATAAAAGCAAATGGCTTTGGTAATCTTCCTGCATGTATAGTTAAGGAAAAGAGGGCCTATCTTTCCACCTGTTTGTGTTCATTCATCCATCCTTTTTCTCCTCCTTCTGTTCCTTGTTCATTCAACCTTTGTTGAGCCCTGTTGTTACTATGACATTGTGTGAGGCACTGAAGATACAGAGCAGAGACCCTACCCTCAGTAAGCTTACCCTGAAGAAAGGGGCACACAGATCCCCAGTTATTCAGAAAAGAATCCTGAGTTCTGGCATCAGAGGAAGAGTGGGTACAAAGGCAGAGAGCCAGTCCCGTGGCAATGTGGCAAGTGGGTTGGTCCCAGAGAGCTCTTCATTGAAGAACAGGTGTGAAAATAATGTCCCTGTAGCTTGCTAAATGTAAGAGTCCTCTGAAATCAAGAAGTAGTATCTATCAGTGTTCTGACAATATTTTCAATAGCCATTTACACTCTGGATTTGCTTTAGCATGTCATCATATGAAAATTTATATAATCAGATCACTTGCAGAAATTATATATACTGGTAGGATTTGTTTAAGCAGAACCTTTGGTTTTAGAATGAATCTACTTATTCTTTTTAAACAAGTCTTTATTTGTGTATCATAGTTTCACATAATATTGGGGTAAATTTTGACATAATCCTACATGCATGAAATATAATTTGCTCCGTTACAGTTCCCAGTTCCTCCTATTTCCCTCTCTTCCTTCTGTTCCCCTTCCTCTATTCTACTAGTCTTCCTTCTATTTTATTTATTGTTTTGATGATTGATAGACATACATAAAGGAGAAATTCACTGTGTTTAGTCTTATCTCCATAAAATGGTGTTAGTGGTTTCAATGCACTTTACTGTTTAGAGAAGGAAAAAAAAACTTTTTGTTTTGAAATAATTATAGATTCACAGAAAGTTGTGAAAATAAACACAAAACTGTACACCAAGATTCCATGTACACTCCACCCAGTTGTAACATCTCTTATTGTCATCACAAATTCATATTCACTTTTGTCCTAATGCTGAAAAATACAAAACGTAGGGCATACACAAGACATCTAGCTTTTTCTCTGGTATGAACTTAAATGTACTTAATCAAAGTTTTTGTTAGACCATCCCACTTAATACTCTTTATAAACAGCAGTTAGTTTTCCCACAGAGATTGCCTAATTAACATGTGACTCTGGGGTAAGTTAAACTCCAATGTTTGTACCACGTTGGTAATTTTTAGAGATCATAGGGATGTCATTTAAACCTCCTTTTAATTTAAATGCTGTCAGGCATTAGGGTGAGTTTTTTAAAGATAATAATAAAAATCTATATCCTGGTATGAAGAGAAACTTGAGTACAATCAGTCTTTTTTTTATATTTATATTTTAGCTCTAGGTGGACACAATATCTTTATTTTTATATTTATGTGGTGCTGAGGATGGAACCCAGTGCCTCACACATGCTAGGCAAGTGCTGTACCTCTGAGTCACAACCCCAGCTCAATCAATC